CCCGCCACAATGCCCGGCTACTTTTTGGTTGCAGCCATCATTGTTGTTTTGGCGGCCCAGGCTGGATTCGAACCCGCCACCTTAGGTGTATGTGGGTGGCGCCTTAGCCACTTGAGCCACAGGCACTGAGCCATTTGAAAAGTTCTTGAGTTTCAACTCAATTTTAAAAGACTTTGTAAAAATAATGAAAAATTATTCATAAGAATAAGAGTTGAGGATAAACAAGTTAATTTTCAAATTGTAATTTTAAAATTAAAACTTAAATTTATAGGAATCTGTCAAAATGTCTGTGATGTTTAGTTCTTTTCCAGAGTTATAGTTGTATTAACCCTGTTACAGGTAAATCAGTCGGTACTCTCATGTGTGCATGATAGAAGCAGCTCCAAACAGGTTAACAGGCCAGAAGTGGTTATGGAATATATATTTCTGATGTAAATTAAATGTTATTTTTTTCACACTGAAACAGACCCCCTGCTTATTTCTAGAGGAAGGAGCAGTTCAGATTTAAATGTGGATTTTGCTTGAAGTTTTTTGAGGCTTAGCAAGAATTATTTCAGAACTTCTAACAAGAATAATTAATGGGAATTCAAGTAGAATTTATCAGATGACTTGGGGGAGAGATGGCAGATAGCTTTCTCTTAATCTGGTAGATATTGTTAATTGGGTAGTGGTGCTCTGAGGAGGATTCTGAAATGGTGTCTGAGCTCAGGTGAGAAGCTGGTCAGTGCCATACCATCCCTGGCTTTATGACTTGCTTGATTTCTAAGAATTTTAAAGTTGAATTATAATAATCTTGAGTTCTATAACTGGTGGGTAGAATTCCAGATATCTTTATAAGCATTTATATTCATTTTGACGTATTGTTTTGTAGGTTTATCCAATTCTCACACACCTGTGAGACCCCCTAGTACCTCCAGTACTGGCAGTCGAGGCAGGTAAGTATTGTTACTATTTTTTCCTTTTTTATTTTATTTTATTTTATTTTTTTTTTTTGAGACAGAGTCTCACTTTGTCGCCCTCGGTAGAATGCCATGGCATTACAGCTCATAGCAACCTCCAACTCCTGGGCTTAGGCAATTCTCTTACCTCAGCCTCCCAAGTAGCTGACACTACAGGCACCCGCCACAATACCCAGCTATTTTTTTGTTGCAGTTTGGCTAGGGTCAGGTTTGAACCCACCACCCTCGGTATATGGGGCCGGTGCCCTACCCACTGAGCCACAGGTGCTGCCTTTTTTCCTTTTTATTAAGAAAAGGTTTAAGAATATATAATAAAAGTAGACTATTATAAGGAACCCCCATATCCTTACTACCTAACTTTAGCAATGATCAAGTTAAAGCTAGTCGTCTTTCTGCTGTACTCCTACTCATTTGTTCCTGGTCTGGATTATTTTGAAACAAATCTCAAGAAAGACATCATTTCCCTTGTGAGTATCTCAGTACATGTCATTTAATAAGAATTTTACAAATATATGAACATAACCACAGAACTTTCATCACAAATAATTTTTTTTTTTTTGGATACAGGAGCCTCAAGCTGTCCCCCTGGGTAGAGTGCTGTGGCATTACAGCTCACAGCAACCTCCAACTCCTGGGCTCATGCGAGTCTCCTGCCTCTGCCTCCCAAGTAGCTGGGACCACAGGCGCCTGCCACAACGCTTGGCTATTTTTTGGTTGCAGCCGTCGTTGTTTGACGGGCCCGGGCTGGATTCAAACCCGCCACCTTGGGTGTACGTAGCTGGCGCCTTAGCCACTTGAGCCACAAGCACTGAGCCCATCACAAATAAATTAACAGCTCATTCTTTTTAATATCAGTAGAGATGCAGTTAATGATCAGAGTTCCCAATTCCTTTTTTCAAACAGATGATTTCTTTGAATCTGATTAACATAAACTATATACATTGACATTAATTTATACATTTATATTATTAATTGTGTAAAAATGTGGTTCTTTCTTCTGTGGAGTTTTCCCTATTTCTTCATCCTGTTACTTAAATACTCTGTCTGTTGGATGAGGAGGCTGATTTCTGTAGTGTCAATACTTTGGAAGGCTAAGATGGGAGAATTGCTTGAGGCTAGGAGTTCAAGACCAACTTGGCAATAGAGTCTCTTTCTTTCTCTCACGCTCTTCATCTGGGCAATAGAGACTCCCCCCCCTTCTCTTTTTTTTTCAAACTCCTGGACTTAAATGATTCTCTTGTCTCAGCCTCCCAAGTAGCTGGGACTATAGGCACTCGCCACAGCGCCTAGCTATTTTTAGAGATGAGGTCTTGCTCTGGGTCAGGCTGGTCTCAAACCTGTGAGCTTAGGCAGTCCACCCTCCTCGGCCTCCCAGGTGCTGGGATTACAGACGTGAGCCAGAGTGCTCAACCTCTTCTCTCTCTCTTTTTTTTTTTTAAATCCTGCCTCCTGGTCCCCCCCCCCACCCCACATTAGTATTTAGATCAAGAGGTTTGATCAGATTTAGATTTGATTGAAGGGGAGAGAGGGCAAAAATACTTAATGGTGACTAGGCACAGCTGTAATCCTTGTACTCTGGGAGGCCAAGGCATGAGGATCACTTGAGCTCAAGAATTTAAGATCAGCCTAAGCAAGAGTAAGACGCTATCTCTACTAAAAAAAATATAAAAACTAGCCAGGCATTGTGATAGGTGCCTGTAGTTCCAGCTGCTCTGGAGCCTGAAGCAGGAGGATCGCTTGAAATTAGGAGTTTGAGGTCGCTGTGAGCTACGCTGATGCCTCTGCATTCTTTTTTGTTTTTTGTTTTTTGTGTTTTTTTTTTTTTTGAGACAGAGCCTCAAGCTGTCTCCCTGGGTAGAGTGCCATGGCATCACAGCTCACAGCAACCTCCCAACTCCTGGGCTTAAGCGAGTCTCCTGTCTCACCTCCCAACTAGCTGGGGCTACAGGCACCCGCCACAGCCCCCGGCTATTTTTTGGTTGCTGCCGTCATTGTTGTTTGGCGGGCCGGGATTCGAACCCACTTGCTCAGGTGTACATGGCTGGCGCCTTAGCCTCTTGAGCCACAGGCACTGAGCCGATGCCTCTGCATTCTAATCTGGGCAACAGAGTAAGACTCTGTTTTAAAAAAAAAAAAAGACAAAAAAACTTGATGGTGATAATATACTTCCACCAGGGACACATTTTGTCTGGTTGGGGTTTTTTGTGATAGCAACGATTAGTTTTTTGTTTGTTTTATTTGAGACAGAGTCTCATTTGTTGCCGTTGGTTGAGTGCTGTGCTGTTGTAGCTCACAGCAACCTCAAACTTCTGAGCTTAAGGGGTCCTCTTGCCTCAGCCCCCCAAGTAACTGGGACTATAGGTGCTTGCCCCCACGCCCAGCTATTTTTAGAGGTGGGGTTTTCTCTTGCTCAGGCTGGTCTCAAACTACTGAGCTAGATGATCGCCCTGTCTGAGATTAGGTGGGATTACAGGCATGAACCACCGTGCCTGGCCTGATAGTAACCATTCCATTGCCTAGCTCTTACAATTTTATTTATTTATTTTTTTTTTAGAGACAGAGTCTCATTTTATTGCCCTCAATAGAGTGCTGTGGCGTCACAGCTCAGAGCAACCTCCAACTCCTGGGCTTAGGCAATTCTCCTGCCTCAGCCTCCCAAGTAGGTGGGACTACAGGTGCCCGCCAGAACGCCTTGCTATTTTTTTTTGTTGCAGTTTGGCTGGGGCCGGGTTTGAACTCACCACCCTCAGTATGTGGGGCCAGCGCCCTACTCACTGAGCCACAGGCGCTGCCCAGATCTCATAATTTTTTTACCGGTTGAGATACATTATATTTGAATTGTATCATTTGTTCTTTATTAGTTTGGAATAAAGATAGTACTTTCTGGCTCGGCGCCTGTGGCTCAAGTGACTAAGGTGCCAGCCATGTACACCCAAAGTGGCGGGTTCGAATCCAGCCCGGCCTGCTAAACAACAATGACGGCTGCAACCAAAAAATAGCCGGGCGTTGTGGCGGGCGCCTGTGGTCCCACCTACTTGGCAGGCGGAGGCAGGAGACTCGCTTGAGCCCAGGAGTTGGAGGTTGCTGTGAGCTGAGATGCCACGGCACTCTACCCAGGGGGACAGCTTGAGGCTCCTGTCTCAAAAACAAACAAACAAAAAAAGATAGTACTTTCTGTCATTAGCTCTTAAGTTACAGGAAAGGTTATAGGATAAATTGATTCTTTACTAACCTGCTTTCATGGTAATGAGTTGAATCCCAACGCCTACACCCTCCAACAGTGATCAATGAGTTTTATTATTATTAACTTGATGAACTCAAATATATAAACATATTTTAGGTTAGGCATTATGGCTCATGCCTATAATCCTAGGACTTTGGAAAGCTAAGACAGGAGGATCACTATAGGTCAGGAATTTGAGGTCAACCTGGGCAATATAGTGAGACCCCATCTTTACAGAAAAATTTATAAAATAAGCCAGGTATGGTGGCTTGTACATATAGTCCTGGCTACTTGGGAGGCTGTGGAAGGAGGATTGCTAGAACCCAGAAGTCTGAGGTTGCAGTGAGTTATGATCGTGCCACTGCATCCAGCCTGGGTGACAGAGCAAGATTTGGTCCTTCAAAAAACAAACCACCACCCCCTTCATTTTTATATGTTTTAGTTCATTATGATTGCTGTTTTTTATTAATGGCTAAAGTTATTCCATCTTTGGCCTGTCAAAAGCTTTTTCAAGTTTTTTTCTTAATCCTTTTGTTATAACACGTAATCTTTAAAAGCTTCCTTTTTTTCTTAGGAAACAATGTTTCAGGTTTATCTTGTGCATTTTTTGCTTCAGACCTGGATTCAACTGTTTTTACAAGAAATCCTGGTCATGTTAATAGAAAAATAGTGTTTGGAGATAATATGCCATGACTGCTACTGAATCATTCATTGTTTCTGAGGCTTTTTTGGCAGACTGAGCTAAGAAATAGGAGTGCGTGTGTGCCTGTGTGTGTGAATATATATGGATGTTTTTAGATTACAGTATTGGCCTTTTACTTTTCTAGTTGGAATAATTTAGTATATTGCAAGGAAGATTTTATTTAAGATATTATATGAATTTTTTTACTTCTATATATGTATACATTTATGCATTATGAAAATTGTTCCTATTAAATGCTTACTTGGCTTTTTAATTATACTTTATTTTTTTTTAATTATACTTTAAATAATCAGTGCTTGTAGAAGAAAAGTACTAACTCAGTGGAAGAGGTGTTTATTCTCAATAGCAATACATTCTTAACAGTTATTCACATCTCGTTTTTTAATTTTTTAATTTTTAATTTTTTTTTGAGACAGTTTTACTATCTCACCGTCAGTAGAGTGCTGTGGTGTCGCAGCTCACAGCAACCTCGGACTCTTGGGTTTAAGCGATTCCCTTGCCTCAGCCTCCCAAAAGTAGCTGAGACTACAGGTGCCCGCCACAATGCCCGACTATTTTTTATTGCAGTTGTCATTGTTGTTTAGCAGGCCATGGCTGGGTTTGAACCCATCTGGCTCCGTATATGTGGCCGGCACCCTAACCGCTAAGTGACGGGCACTGAGCCTATTCACATCTCTTAATAGATTTTGCTTTTTTTCCCATTCCCTTGACTCAAATAAGGATGTTCCAGGTTGTCTGCCACTTGTTATCCTCTTGTTCTAGTCCCCATTTCTCAAAAGCCAAAATATTCTGTCTTTGGAGAGGCTTCATGACCGACTTTCATTGATACGGTATTATATGTCTGGGAAAGTAGAGAAGAACCGAAATTATTTTTAGTAAAAGCAGCAATCGTTGACATTCTATACTTGGCCTGTGAATATAATAATTGTTTATTAGACTCAGTAAATGATTTACCATGAAATGTGTTTTTAGGGTCTTCTGAAAGTTTTATCTACATTTTTAAAGAGGTTGAAACCAGGCCTATACCACTTTCTTCCTAACTGCATTATGAGGTATCCTTATCTTCTATCCTTACCTTTGCTTTAGTGAACGTTATTTTTTATGTACTTGTTGTTATTTACATCACACTGTCAAGCATATGTGACTGTTAGGTGTTGTTTTTATTAGCTGTGGGTCATCAGGAAGAACTGCTGAGAAGTCAAGTCTTAGTTTCAAGTCTGATCAAGTGAAGGTCAAGCAAGAACCTGGGACTGAAGATGAAATATGTAGCTTTTCAGGAGCTGTGAAACAAGAAAAGACAGAAGATGGTAGGAGAAGTGCTTGCATGGTAAGTTCCTACAGGGATCTGATAGGGATTTAAAGAAGTTGCTTTGCTGATTCTTTCTTCTCTGAATATATTAAGAGTGATGAATATTTCTGAGGGTATTTGTTTATCTTTAAATTTTCATGTCTGACACAAGCCAGTTATCTTTATCTAATGCAACTTCTTTGTCAGAAAAAATGTGTTTTTAAATGCTTATTTGAAATTATCTTTGAATTTGTATTTAGTTAATATTTTTGCCATCATACCAAATCGGGTTCTGTCTTGTTCTGAAATTATTAATCATCTCAGTAGTCACATCTCAGGTCACAGAAAATCCTAGGCATTGTCCTGGAGCTATGTACTCAGCATTAAGATTGCTAATGTAAAATAAGTTTATTGGCAAAAGAGCCTTTAGGGTGAGAGGATTGTCTTTTGATTTATGAGTTGTATATTCTAGAGTTCCTCAAAGGAAGGCTCAAACCCCTCCTTTCTTAGAAATTTGGTATTTTTTTCTTCCTGTCTATGCTTCTGTCTCACTTTCTACATGATTGGCACGTAGGAGTTCCATCTCATGGTTTTAGTACATTCAACACAGTGTATATCGATTTGTTAGAGCAAGAGATTTAGCTTTGGTTTTTTTGTTTGTTTTTTGCAGTTTTGGCCAGGGCTGGGCTTGAACCCGGCAACCCCAGTATATGGGGCTGGCGCCTACTCCTTGAGCCATAGGCGCCACCCTAGCTTTGGTTTTATAGCAGAACTTGGTTTGGAAAATATTCCCATTAAAAATGGATCCAAAAGGTGGTGGAAGATTTGTTACACTGTCACATTCTTCCTACAATAGTAGCGTGTTAGGTGAGCTTTACAAATGCTATGCAGAATGTTCTGGTGTGAAAAATAGTATGCTCCAATTATCTGTCTATAAGAAAAGTATAACCCTGTGCTTACTCCCACTCAGTGTGTTTAATGGCTCAATAATTTCCTCTTAATCTCAGTGAACCAGTATTAGTGAGACAGAACCCTAAAAATCATACATTAGCATGCCTAAGTAATTTTGGGGTTATTATCATTTCTTTATATCACTAATGTGATTCATAAAATAATTTGTCAGTATATTTATATGCATATTGGTATAACTTAAATACGCTGCATACAGTAAAGATTAAATGATTCTTCAAGGCAGGGCTCACAGCTATAATCCTAGCACTCTGAGAGGCTGAGGCCGGTGGATTGCCTGAGCTCAGGAGTTCAAGATCAGCCTGAGCCAGAGCGAAACTCCATCTCTAAACAATAGCCAGGCATCATGGTGGGCACCTGTAGTCCCAGCTACTCAGGCGGGTGAGGCAAGAGAATTGCTTGAGCCCAAGAGTTTGAGGTTGCTGTGAGCTATGTCATAGCACTCTACCGAGGGCAACAAAGTAACATTCTGTTTCAAAAAAAAACAAAAAAAATGATTCTTCAAGAATTTGTCATTGTTTTATTTTAGTTGAGCAGTCCTGAGAGTAGTTTGACACCGCCCCTCTCAACTAACCTACATCTAGAGAGTGAGTTGGATGCGTTAGCAAGCCTGGAAAACCACGTGAAAACTGAACCTACAGATATGAATGAAAGCTGCAAACAGTCAGGGCTCAGCAGCCTTGTTAATGGAAAGTCCTCAATTCGAAGCCTCATCCACAGATCAGCAAGGGTTGGAGGAGATGGCAACAGCAAAGATGATGATCCAAATGAAGATTGGTGTGCTGTCTGCCAAAATGGAGGGGATCTCTTGTGCTGTGAAAAATGTCCAAAGGTCTTTCATCTAACTTGTCATGTTCCAACACTTCTTAGCTTTCCAAGGTACTTGTGACGTAATTGATTTTTGTTACTTTTGTTTATTTTTATAAGCTGGAAAAAATAGAAAGTTGTTTTCAGTACTTAGTATTACTATAAAACAGGGAACCTCTTGTTCCTTTGGTATTATCTTCTAGAGAGACTAACAGAATGACAGAACATCCATGATCTCAGTGACACATTGTTAAAAGAGTAGTTAAGACTTCATCTCTTGGCCTTTAGTGTATATTCAGTGCAAGCAAATTATTAATAAAGTTCTAAATTAAGAGAAGCAAGAGGATTGTTGTGTTGGAGAAAATCTATTTCCTTTTGGAAGGTGAATTTTTAGTCTATCATCATTCTTAATAGGGTCTACAATAGTAATTTTATTTATAAATGTCATTCAATTTGAGGACGCTTTATTGGATAATACCCGAAACTTCTCAAATGTTTGAGAGCTTTCAAAAGACATTTTAATGAAAAAACAAACTTCTATAAAAATACCTTTAATATTTTGGGATTTGGGGATAGTTTCCTCTTGATCATGGGAAGCAATTCATTGGTAGTGCCTGCCTGAAGCAGTCACAGTGTGTGTAGATTTCTTATATTTTTCCTTTGACCAGCTAATAGGAATGTGTTTTAGACATCAACTCTTAGAATAGACAGTGAATTCCTTGTAAAGGAACTCTTGGGATAAAGATAAATAGAAAGAGATTAGGGGAGAATATGAGCTTTGTCTTCAAACTGATATGCCCTGTGCCTGCTAAATGTGGTTTCAACATTAAAGCACTCATTGCTGAGCACACAAGGCAAGTGGAACAAATGTTTGGGGCTAGGTGGGTTACAAGACCTGTATGTCTGGTGGTGACTGTCGTGAGCTCGGGCAGTTCACTGATCTGCAGAGATCAGGTTCTGTATAAGTGGTAGGGTTTGGTTTAGAAAAGCTCTAGTGCTTCCCCTTTAGTTAACATTTTATATTTTATATTTTATGTTCATGCAGTCTCTTATGTCTGATTGATTTCAGAGACCATAAAATAGTCATATTTGTTTTTTTCAATTTCCCTTTTCTTCCAATTTCCTTTTAAATGATAATAAACCAATCTCTGGGGAGAAACCCAGCTTTTTTCTTGCTATAGAATAAAAATAATTTTTTTCTTTTCAGATTCTTGAGTGGCAGTGATTTTAATTGAATAATGCCACCCTTGGCTCTGGGCTGCTTGGCTCAAGCTGCTAAGGCACCACCCACATACATTTGAGCTGGCAGGTTTGAATCCAGCCCGGGCCCGCCAAACAACAATGATGGCTGCAACCAACAAATAGCCGGGCGTTGTGGCAGGCGCCTATAGTCCCAGCTACTTGGGAGGCGGAGGCAGGAGAATCGCTTAAGCCCAGGAGTTGGAAGTGGCTGTGAGCTGTGATGCTACACCACTTGACCCAGGGTGACAGCTTGAGGCCCTGTCTCAAAAAAAAAAATAATAATATTGCCACCCTCTTTGAGAGATTTAGTATTTTAGATTAGAAAACAAGTAGATACATAAACAGAATGTTTTCCAGAAAAATTGTCATTCTCACCTAAGTCTTAGGCGGTACAGTCTTTTGCCAGAGATGTAATGATCTCTTTCAGAAAAGAAAAACATTGGCAGTTTATTCTTGAAATTAAGGCTTTTTGTGTTTTTCTTTCTTTTAGATAGTAACATCTACTGGAATGTCAGGATTTTGCCACTGAATGCTAGGGAACTAGCTTCTCTAGCACTGGTTTTGTTGTAATTGCACAGACTAATTGCCTATTTCCCTGTTTAGTGGGGAGTGGATATGCACATTTTGTAGAGATATTGGGAAGCCAGAAGTTGAATATGATTGTGATAATTTGCAACATAGTAAGAAGGGGAAAACTGCACAGGGATTAAGCCCCGTGGACCAAAGGGTAAGTGTCAAATAAATTGATTTGTTATTGGGGATTCTGTAGGTGTCTGCCTATATACATCTTTTCCCCTGTGTATTGTACACATAACTTCACAGATTTTTATTTTTTAATCTTATCATCTGTTGATTTTTTTTTTTTTTGCAGTTTTTGGCCAGGGCTGGGTTTGAACCTGCCACCTCTGGCATCTGGGGCTGGCGCCCTACTCCTTTGAGCCACAGGTGCCACCCATCTTTTGACATATTGAAGGCACATTGGTGTGTTCTGAAATCTTTCTAACCCTGAACTCTAGACTGTTCTGTGCAGCATCCTCAAATTTAACATGTCCTAACTAAAACCTTAATTTCTAATCTTCTCCCTCAAAAACAAAAAACAAGCAAATAACATAAAAGGCTATATTCATCCTCCCCCAGTATTCCTCTTCATTGAAGGGCACCATTCACCTCTATTATCAGGCTAGAAATCTATTAGAAATGAAAGAATCGAGAATAACTGTAATACTATTTTCTTATTCCCCCTTCCCTCATACCACCCTAGATAACCATCACAGTTTCTCATCTGGACCATTGCAATAATCTCTTAACTGGTCTCTCTGCTTTTATTCTTGCCCTTCACAGTCCATTTTCTATACTGAACAGAGTGTTCTTCTTTAAAAAAAATAAATGTCTATCAGCTCAGTGCCCATAGTTCAGTGGTTAGGGCGCCGGCCACATACACCAAGGCAGGCAGGTTTGAACTCAGCCTGGGCCTGCTAAACATTGACAACTGCAACAACAACAAAATAGCCAGGCCTTGTGGTGGGCGCCTGTAGTCCTAGCTACTTTGGAGGCTGAGGCAGGAGCATGCTGAAGCCCAAGAGTTTGAGGTTGCTGTGAGCTGTGATGTCCTAGCACTCTACTGCAGGCAACATAATGAGACTCTGTCTCAAAAAAAAAAAAGTATATTACTTTTTGCCTAAAATCCTCTAACAGCATTTTCATTTTTTTCTAATACATATGTATATATTTTATTGTTGGGGATTCATAGAGCTTTTCCTTTTTGTCACATAATAAAATGAAATTCAAAATCCTCTTATATTTCTTCTGATCTGCTTTGAAGTCTTTGATTTCCACAGACAAAATATTTTTACATCGTTGCATGGTCATTAGAGTTAAGTTTGCTTTTAATCCAGTGTACTGCATATATATTTGCAAAATCCCTATCAACTATCTGTGAAGAAAAAGTGTATGTTAAGGTGGGCTTGGCGCCTGTAGCTCAGTGGCTAAGGTGCCAACTACATTCACTGGAGCTGGCAGGTTTGAATCCAGGTCAGACCTGCCAAACAACAGTGACAACTGCAACAAAAAATAGCTGGGTATTATAGTGGATGCCTGTAGTCCCAGCTACCTGGGAGGCTGGAGCAAGAAAGTTTGAGGTTGCTGTGAGCTGTGATGCCACGGCACTCTACCAAGGGCAATAGCTTGAGACTCTGTCTCAAAAGAAAAAAAAAGTGTATGTGAAGGATATACAAAGTTACATTAAATATAAGTAAATAGAAAACCACAAATGTAAAATGCCCTTTAGTTTATTCCTGATTATATTTTTTAAAAATTCTAGAATAGTATTGACAGAGACAGTTTTTATTTATTTTGAATGTGTGAGTGAAGTCATTTGAAGAAAGGGGATAATAACATTTGTCTTCCCTGCCTCAGGGAATTATAATGAGGGACAATAGTGATTATTTCTTTATTACCAGGTAATCTATGATTTTTTTTATACCAAGTGTGATTTCCTTTCCTTTGTATAAATAAGAGTTAATAAATGTATTACTTCAGTTGTCTTCTTTCATAAATAAAGGCACTCTTATTTACTTAAAGTAGAAGATGATCTCAAAACTAAATGGGAAGCAAGGCAATTTTCTTTTGTATTTTTTGTATATTTAGTTGGACAGCTAGTAAGGAGCTTTATGCTCAGTTTGTTGTAATCATGCTTTATAGTTATGTAGTTTTCATTCTCAAGAATATCTTAGGGGAAAATATTTCATGTGTTTTCCTTTCCTTGTTTGGGCCAGAAATGTGAACGTCTTCTGCTTTACCTCTATTGCCATGAATTAAGTATTGAATTCCAAGAGCCTGTTCCTGCTTCGGTGAGTTGCCTACCTTAGTACCTTCCTGATGAAGAGGTCTCATACAGTACTTAGAATATTAAGCTCTGGCCATAGACTGCTTGTATTATTAATATAACTCAGGCTTCTTGAATAAGCTCTTCAGTCTTTCTAAAAATCAAGTTTCTTTTTTGATACTGTTTCTTACCTCACTGAGACGTTTTGAGGATTGTATAAGGTAACCTATGTAACCGTTATATAAGGTAACCGTTTAGCAGTCTGTAGTTGTAGATTTTTATTACAAATAAAGGCTCTGAAATATCACTATAAAGGTAAGGCTGGAGGTGCTCAGTGCCTAATAAGTGAGACAAGAATATGCTATACACGTTTTATTTGCTAGCTGTCATTTGTTGAGTGGTATATTATTGCATACTAGACGTGCTATAGAATATTAAATGGTAGTTGACTTGTTTACTAGGTAGGCTAAGAATTGAATTTTAAAGCATAAAAGGGGCCGGGCGTGGTGGCTCACACCTGAATCCCAGCATTCAGGGAGGCTGAGGTGGGCGGATTGCCTGAGCTCACGGGTTCAAGACCAGCCTGAACCAGAGCAAGACCTTGTCTCTAAAAATAGCTGGGTGTTATGGTGGGCGCCTGTAGTCCCAGCTACTTGGGAGTCTGAGGCAAGAGAATCACTTGAGACCAAGAGTTTGAGGTTGCTGTGAGCTGTGATGCAATGGTTCTCTACTGAAGGCAACAAAGTGAGACTCTATTTAAAAAAAAAAGCACAAAAGGTCTCTAGATCAAAAAAAAAAAAAAAAAGGATGTATTGTAGTAATCATCTGATTTTATAAAGTCTGTCTCATCTTCAAGTTCAGGGTTTTCACAGTAGAAAAAGATGTTCAAATATTTTATTTTCATATACTATTTAAATGACTTCTCTGTCTCCACTTAAATCTTAAAGGTAGAAATTTTTGGCCAAAATTGGGGCCAGAATTCCCTAACTTTTCTGTGACTACTAAATAGTAAATTTTTCTTACAACTGTCTTTCTTCCTATGTTGATAAGTTGTAACTTCTGTGTGATACAGAAGATGTTCTCTATGAAGTCTTCTAAAAGACAACAGAGGCAAGACATCACAGTCTTTTATTTTTTTTCTGAGTCTTACTATGTAGCCCAGACTGGGGTGCAGTGACTAATCACAGGCACATTCACAGCTCCCTGAAGCCTGTAACTCCTTGGCTCAGATGATCCTCTGCCCCAGCTTCATGAGTAGCTGGGACTATAGATGTGCACCAACCATCACAGCAGGTTGAGACATCATATTCTAATCATAATCTTAATATATTGTGTGCATTTTTTTCTTCTAAAAATAGAATTCTTCAGAAATCATAAAGTTCTGATGAGTCAGATATGGCTTTAGGCTACTGGTTGTTTACTCTCACTGATTGTTTTCTTTCCAAATCTAATTATTATTTTTGTTTGTTTGTTTGGTATTTTTTGTTTGTTTTAGCAGGTCTGGGCCAGGTTCGAACTCATTAGCCCTGGGGCATGTGTCCAGCACCCTAACCACTGAGCTATGGGCACCAAGCCCAAATCTAATTAAAAGTCCCCTTTGGGGGCTTTCACTAATCATAGAGCCTGGACACTGTGCATAAGATTTGGTTTTCATCATAGGATTAGAGCAGATGATTTAAAATACAGTCTCCCTGTACCCAAAATTTACAAATAGTTGGCTGAATAATCGATATTTTTTTTCTAAAACTAATATGTTATGCATTTTCAAATTAAACATTTTGGCATTTTTTGATAATTCTTATCTATCTTTATTTGCTTATTTTAGATACCAAACTACTATAAAATTATTAAGAAACCCATGGATTTATCCACCGTGAAAAAGAAGCTGCAGAAAAAGCATTCCCAACACTACCAAATCCCAGACGACTTTGTGGCTGATGTCCGTTTGATTTTCAAGAACTGTGAAAGATTTAATGAGGTATGTTAGTTTCTAACCTGTAGAATCTTGGTTCATTAGTTTCTATTTGCTTGTTTTTTTTTCCCTGCTGTGAAAAAGTTTTCTAATGAGATTAAAATTTTTTTCTGCTAAAGTCCTGTCAAAAGTAAAATATTATATTCACAACTCCAAAGAAGAAAGTTTAAGTGCATACTTAAATATAATAAAATTAATATTGAACATTCCTTCCAAAATGAGGTGATGGTTGGGATAAGTATGGAAAATAGTCTGTAGTTAAGTATGTTTTGCGAAGTATGATAAACAGCCTGAGTTTGGGGTTCATTTAAGAAAGGTATCTATTCCCTTGTCCTTAGATTTTATTATTGACCCCGTAAATGTAGAACCTTAAAATCATAAGCTAAACTCTGTTGACTTATTCTTGAATAGTAGTAGCCCACAGTATATAATACTGAGTTTTCTAATTTTAGCAAATGACTTTGAGGGTAAGGTTGAGCTATCCACACCTTAAAAGGAAATGTAATATATACTTATTTCAAGGAAATTGTTTTTCTTATCTTTGGGACAAAGTCAAGTCTGTTATTGTTATGAAACAGTTTCATTATAGGAGAAGAAAATAGAATTTAAGGAGAATCCACAAAATCAAAAAATCTCATAATGTGAAAATTCTAAGTCACCTTTATGGTAATATGACACAGAGAATATTAGTAAAATCTCACTAATTTTGAAGGTAAATTTAGAAAGAATAGTCCCAAATTTGATCTTCTTTTTTAATGCACTTAGATTCTTGTCAAATAAATATGCTTTATAGTTGATAGACAACAAGCCTGCCTGAGTAATAATTAAATAACTTATGATTGACATATTGGCAGGCAGAATTCTAATTGAGTAGTTGGCTGAAAGTTTGACAGGCTTTTAAAGCAGCTTATAGCATTTGTTTCACAAAATTTTTTTCTTGAATATATTGATATATTCAGAACAGTTCCTATTGAGATTGACCTCAGTAATTTGAAATGAGGCCATTACTGAGGTTTCACAGTAGCTTTAGTAACAGAGCTTTGTTAAGAAAATGGTTCCATATTCTGTAGAGTTTTAGAAAGCACTTAATCTGGTGATTATAGCAGTTTGTTCTCCCTAGTATGGCTGACTTTCGTCGCCAATCCTATGCAATCTCATGACTTTAGAAAGGATTATAATTTCCCTTTTTTTTTTTGACTCTGGTATCCTTTTTAGATGATGAAAGTTGTTCAAGTTTATGCAGACACACAAGAGATTAATTTGAAGGTAAGCTTTTCAGACCATGCAAACTTGGTGAAGGAATATGTATTACCAATAGGTGAATATTCCTATCTTTTGCTTGCAGGCTGATTCAGAAGTAGCTCAGGCAGGGAAAGCAGTTGCATTGTACTTTGAAGATAAACTCTCAGAGATCTACTCAGACAGGACCTTCGCACCTTTGCCAGAGTTTGAGCAGGAAGAGGATGATGGTGAGGTAACTGAGGACTCTGATGAAGACTTTATACAGCCCCGCAGAAAACGCCTAAAGTCAGATGAGAGACCAGTACATATAAAGTAAAATGACATGGATTTAAATCAGTTGTTTAAAAAAAATGAAAAAGGAAAAACCAGAAAACTTTTATTTAAGTGTTGCTGGAATATCCTGCTTGAAGAAGCTGAGAACTCCTACACAGGATTAGATTGAAATAATGGACAGAAAACACATTCCTGTCAAGAAAGGGGGAGACAACTCCATTTGCAACTTTAAAGTAAAAGCAAAAACGCAAAAGGGAAATGATTTGAGGATTTCTGTTACTAATGAGGATGGTTCTTTGGTTCAGAATAGCAAATGTGATCATATGGTATTGATTGGTGCAGGATACTGGGTGTACAAGTAAATTGTCCTTTTGGATTAGGTCGCACAGTTACTAAAAACAATTTTTAAGCCTCCCCCTCCACATACATATATATGGGCTGTTTCTTAGTTTAAAATAATTCAGAGTAGCTCGGGTTTCACTTTACTGCTAGTGCAGATGTGCATTGAGTCATGCCATTATATTTTTTTCTAATTTTGATGATAATGGGTCTTACTTTTAAATTCATTTAAAGAATTCCACAGTAGTTTTATTTTCTACTCATACTTAGAGTCTAGGAAACATGACCCACTCAACTTCAGTGGTCTACTGAAATAAAAATGGTAACTTTTCAGTAGTAGGTCATGTAGAGTTAGGGTAGTTATTACCAGAAAACACTTCCACACACTTGCACTTCCCAATCAGATGATCTGATGATAGTTATTCCCATAAAAGGCAGAATGTTTGTTTCAGAATTAATCCAGTTTTCTGTACATTTAAATTTGATTGAGAAGGTGACAGCTGGCTCTTTTCCAGTCTTCCTTCACATCAGTTTTCTGATAGACCACTATTGGCAAACAGTTATCTGTCAACTACCAAATGTGTAAAATTTTCTGTATTTCACTTTGTCTTATTTGTAAATAGTGAACTAAAACTTCTGGCAGATCAGCAACATTTGCTGAGCCTGTTTTTTAAGCTAATGTGTATTCTTACTAATGTTCCTATCAAGAATGGATTTGTAATATATGCTGTCTATTTCTAATGTTCGCATTCATATTTTGAGGTTCTATCTTATTTTAATAGAGAACAGACTTCTCAAAAAATCTTCAGAAGCAGCTTATTATTGAAATATCAAACTATTGAAATAAACCCGGTGGGGTTAGATTACTCATCCGTCCACCAAGTGGGACATTTGCCTAGACTAGGGGCTTAAGGACTTAGAAGAGACCTGTAAGGAAATCCTGAAAATGAGCCAATCCCCACTTGAATGGTTACTGGAGTAAACCCACCTTTACTGGCCTGATCGTAGCACCCACGGCAGATGAACCAACTTGGCTCTGGTTCATTTTTCTTCTCTTCATTTGTGATGCTCAAATTCAAGATGTGTGATTTAGATGATGTACAGGCTTCTCTTTTGTTGGATTAAAAATCTTCGTCCTACTTTTGTATGGACACTTTAGAATATAAAGAGACCAAAATAGATGAATTTGCCATTAGATATTTTTCAGACGTCAGCAGATTTGTGGCAAATCATTTGCCTTTTTAAAAATTCAGTTTAATCATTTCAGAAGTAGACTATTCAGAAAATTATTTGACATAACTGTCTTAAGAAGTAAATATTTTTTAGTGCGTATTAAATCAAATAAAGTGCTCTAAAGAAATTATTATACAAATTCTTTTGGGTTTTTCTTTTCTTAAGGTGTGGGGGTACAAATATGATTCAGGCCTTCTGGTTGTGTTTAAAGAGTATTGATTTTATTATTGCTGTTGACTTATTTTATTCCCTGGCTTCCATTTACCGTCTCTTTCAGTTTTCTTTTAAGTTAAGCTTTTAAAAATATACCAAATCATAACTCACTTTACTCAAATTTTGAAATTCCTAAAAAAGTTTTTTAATAAGAGGGAAAAATAATTTTGAAATACTTTTACCTATGCCTGTTTCCCTCTTTTCCACAACATCCATGGTTTCAACTTATAAGTAGACATATATCTGAGGGCACAGTTTGGAAAGTGAGGAGTCGCAGTATAACTTTGAGTTCTAACATTTTATATTTGCTCTTCTTATGAATCTTTTTCCAAAAAAATTTTAGGTAATAAGTTACAAGTAGGTCCTCGAACAGTGGGGAGGAACAAATTTTAAGTAAATATTTCTCAGTATTCTGGCCTTAAGAGATAATGTATTTATTTAAAATCGTTTCCATGTTAGGTGGGGTTTTTGGTTTATGTTTGTTTTAATTTATGGTTGGTTAAAGTAATAATTTAAAAAACACTTTATTGCTGATATTTAATTGGTTGCATTTCTATTGATAAAAAATAATTCATACTGCTGAGGAATTGCTAGTAACATATCAACAAACCACCATTGAACAAAGGTGTTTGCTTTAGATTTCAGTAAGAGTTTTTTTCTTACACATTGATCAGTGTGCTTCTAAGCCAATTTGTTTGGCTCTAATATAACTATAGTTCAAAAGTTTAAAAAGTTTAAACTGATATCCAGATATCTTATTTTCCTATTAATTTAAGTTTCAAAAAAACAAGTATCTGTTAATCCCTGAAGATAACTTGTTTTGATACTCTCTTACATGGGTATTCTCTGTTTAAAAGGTGATATTTTAGACATGGAGGAAAGACTGTACAATAATGTTTTCTTGAATGCTTTCAAAGTTTTTGCCATGCTTCAATTCTTACATCAGAAAACTGAGAACACAGTGTTCTTTCATCTGTTCTGACCTGAATTTGTGCTTTCAGCACTTGACTCAGCTGATTCACTTAGTGAAGAAATTGCTTTACAAGGTAAAGCATGGGAAAGTTACAAAGTATGGTTAGATTGTAGATCATGCTGTATGTGGCGATTTCAAATCAGTACTACGGAGAAATGAGAAAGGATTGGATCTCCTTTGAAATTATTCTTTTTGGAATCAATAAACTTGATTTTGTTTCTTACAGAAGGGGATTTTAGATAATTTTAAATCTTGCTTTTTATTAAAATAAGTTTTGAGGTTTTTAGTTACTCCAAAGACATGCTTTTAAATAGAAGTAAAAGGTTTATAGTGTGCAAATTGTAGATTTACCAATTACCTCAGCAGGTACCCTGCCATATAATTATTAGTGATTAGTGTTACTGAATCAATAGATTGAGGTCTTCCAACTATGCCCTTGGATTATGGCCCACTGTATGTTACTAAAAAGGGAGTAGATGCTGTCACTTCCTCCCCCTTGGCCTTTATATTCCATACTCATCCCTATCCACATGCAACACTGAGATACAAAAACCTCATTTCTTATCAAAGTCAGCACGCTTATTTGCATATTCAACCTTGGATCAGTGAGTAGTTTCATAAAAATCCACACTCTCAATTCCCTTAATTAAAGCAATCAGATTTTTAATACACACCATGAATTCTTAATTTATGCCATCCATAATACTGATCTGGTGAAGGTCATTTGAGATTTTAAAGTTGTATAACCGTTCGATTGTGTATCAGATCTGGATGTTTCCTTTACTTTTGTTCTCATAGTTATCTCCTCCTCAATAAAGCAATAACACTGCTTTAAGTCTGTTGCCTAATAGCACGTCAGAACCCTCTCCTGGATGGCGATTTTATAGGAAAGTTTGTATGCATATCACCCGATCTATCTTTTAAAAATTAAGAAATTTAAATCTATGCTGGAGGTAATGACAATATATTGTGGCATTTTATTTTAAAAATTGGGGAAAGTTGCATATTTTTTTAAATGTAGGTGTTTGAGTAAAAAAAAAAAACGAAGGTACTTTTTTAAGGAAAAAAATTTATATGCCACAGTTTACATAGATATTTCAGAGTTCAACATGTACTCTTGAATATAATGGTTTCTTTTACTTGGTCAAAATGCATGTATAGCATTTCTTTCATTTTAGTTCCTTGTGTTTGCCTATGTGGTCCTTTATTTTTTATTGTATCTGAGAAACAAAAGTATCTCCAAAAATAAATTAATTTGGATATATTTATCAAACTGCAGAATGTAAAAAATTAAGTTTAGCCCTTTTCCAGCCAGTAATCTTTAAAGCTAAAAACGCTATTCTTTTAAATTCACCAAATTTATATGTGGGAAGGCACTAACAAGATTTTGTAAGTGCCACTGCAATATTCCCTTTCAAGTGTGGCTTAAATTTCAATCTTAAGGATGGAATGCATGTCTGCTCCTGGTCTGAAAAATGTAGGCATTTACTATGTTTTAAAACACAGTGAAACATGTACATAAGCCTATAAAAAAAAGATTTGTGCAATTTGCAAGCCTGTAAATTTTTTATGTAGACGCACCTACACGAGAAAGGGTTAAATTCACAGCCTTACTAGTTCCTCAGTATTTCGATTGGTCTCCTGCGTTGTTATTATTATTATTATTACTACTATTACTATTATTTTTGCACATAGTTAACTACCCTACAATATGATTCTTAAAGAAAAAGTGCTGTTTCTGTGGTATCGTATTCTCTAAATAATCATATTTAATTTTTTAAAACAAGATTGCGGTTTCTAATTGTTCTATTCCTGTGTTTTTGCTGGTGTGTAATAAAAGCAAGTTTTTTCTTTTCAAGGTTATTTAATACATTAGCTGCCTGTAAATATTCTTGTTATATGCTCTGGAATGTGTTGTAGAAGTTGTATTAGATTAGTTTAAACCCTTGTTTGAAAACCACATTGTTTTGGTTATTTCTATTAAATTAGAAAATTGAAAAAGTTTTCAAATGAATTTCTTATTTTTTCTCCTCTGTGAGTTGAGATGATTTTAATCCATTAAAAAAATTATACTGTGTGCTAGGCACCAGAGATACGATAGTAAGATAAAATCTAGTCCCTGCCTTCATAGCATGTAGACGCTGTGTTAGATTAATGAATGTTATGCTAGGTATTAACACAGACTGTAGTCAGAACACATAGGAAAGGGTCTAACCTGAACTATTGTCAAGAAAGGGATCACTTTCACTCGTAAAAGACAGGACAGTGACTCAGGCAAAGAGCACGCAAAAAGAGATTACATGAAAGAGAACACATATATTTCAGGACCTGAACAGTTTGATGTATATATAACAGTGTAAGTTGGAATGGTAAATACTAAGAGCGGGGTCTTCTTCAAGCAGAGAATCTTGCAGTTTATATAGAAGGGTGTGGGATTTAACATTTATGCCAACAAGAAGTCCTTGAAGAATTTGAAGCAAGGTGGGGACTGGAGGGATGAAGTAATTAGATTTGCCCGTTTGAAAGATTAACTGTGAGGAGTGGATTGTTTAACCCAAGTGACCCCGAACCTAGCTGTCTGGCAGTGGAATGGAGAATAGTTTAAATTAGGTAAAATAGACTAATAATTAAAAGTCATTGGATGGTTAACATCAAAATAGGAAAAAGGAGAACCAAGGAGTTAGGTTACAGTGCAGGAAGGAGGGCAGTAAGTTTAGAATGTTGAGGTACTGATGGAAAATTAAGGTGCAGATGATCAGGGTTCTGGGCAGAGATAGAGCCCGCAAGATCCATCATTTAGTAATTGTACCTGTTTTTTTATTCATGACTGAATATACTAGCACATGGTAGGCATTTAGTGAACATCTAACTTGAGTCACTAGCATAATAAATGGTAACGAAAATGGTATAGGAGTGTGATTCTGCTCAGGAAATGTATAGAATGACAAGAGTGGAATATTCACAACAGCAGAAGAAGCAATATTTAAAGATTGAAAAAGAAAACTCCACAGAAGAGACCGACGAAGCTAGAAGGAAAGCCGGAGAGTCCTAGCGGAAGGCAAGAGGGGGGTGGGGGCATTTGTGATGTCAGGTGTTGGCAAGAGTTGAAGTAAAGATAAAGTGCCTGTTGAATTTAGCAACTTGGAAGCCGTAGATGACCTTGGTAAGAGCTGTTCAGTTTGTGCAGCAAAAAGAGTGCAGTGGGTTAGATGAATAGACACAGAAGGAACAGCGGAATGTAGACTGTACGTTCAAAAGATTGACCTTGGTTTTTCCATAGCTTACGTAGAACTTAAAGCCATGAATACCAAGTAAAACATCAGCGTGGAAATCCCTAGTTGTTACCCTTCTAGATGCATTTTGTATATCAGGAAAACAAAAATAACATGGGTTTTCAGCCATAGTATGGACTTTGGTTTGAACCCTGTTTGATCTCTCTTGAGTTTCACGCGTCTTATTTGTGAAATGGGAATGGGTAGTCATGTAATTAATACGGAGATGAGTCAAGATCATTTATAGCATAAAGTTGACATAGTAATTTCTCAACAATTTTCTTCCTCATGCTTCTATTGCCATGAAAAGGGGCAAGCTAGAAATGTGCTTTCTACTTTTTTACTCATAAGAAAAATTTTTCATACTGGAACCCAAGTCTTTCAAATCTAGCCTCAGCTTTAAACATGAATGTAATCCTGCATCAATTGATCCTTAGATTTCTAGACTCCCAACAAACACATACCAGGCTCTGGATTTTAAGGGAATAATAAATGCGAAAATCAGTCGAGTGGAGCTAATGGAAGATTTTATCTCCTTTTCCTGTTACGGAGATGGTGGTAGATGGATCGCTGTTCTTTGATTTGTGAAGATGTTGCTCTTGGTGGTCTGGAAGAGCAGGTATACATAGGATCGTTTGTCTTCTCTGCCTACCCTGAGGAGTCCCCAAATGGTACAAAGTACCTGAAATGCTGAATGTGATTTATTTTTTTAAATCTTTATATTCATTGTGGAGCTAAACAAGGAAGAAAGATACTCCAAAGGCCGGCTTGGCGCCTGTAGCTCAACCGGCTAAGGCGCCAGCCACGTACACCTAAGGTGGCGGGTTCGAATCCCCAGCCCGGGCC